CCCCCCGTGCTGCCCAGCGCTGAATAAACATACCTACTTTACAATCTTACAGATTGTGGAGTCTGTTTCCGCACATCAGTTCACCTGCATCTGAAGAAGAAAAATGTATCACGATGTCCATAGGTTACCAGGTTATCTAGGAAAATATATAATCCATAAATGACCAGGTTAAGCTTAGGAAATACACTGTCCAGAAATGACCAGGTTATTTGAGAACATGTAGTCCAAAAGAGACAATAGTATGTATTGATGGGTAGTGCATGGGACGGGTGCATATGCAAACAGAGAAAAAAAAATCTTCGCTGGAGAACTCAATTATCCTTGTCTATAGAAGGGATTGCATAATTCAACTGTAATCGAAGTTGACCCCAAGTAATAGTGTAAGTGAAGACACACGAAGGTTGGATATATAAGACTCTAGCAAGCTTACACAACTCTCTCCGCGTTGTATAAGGTGCCGTGTTTCTGCAGCACGGGATGTGCAGCACTCGTCGGTCTGATGGGCTGCCACGTACAGTATGTACGTGTACTGCACCGCACTGTACAGCTGCCTTTGCAAGTACTGTTGTCTTGCCACTAATGGGAGCTGTGCTGCGTTACCTGTTCTCGGGTTTTCCAGGTTGTATTGGGTCCGGTAACCCCCTCTCCAGCTTTGGTGTGACAGTTTAATCCGGATGCAACAACGGGAAACAAGCAGAAAGAAGTCTTAACCTTTCTTTAATTCAGACTTCTGAATCTAAAGGTCTCGGATTTCATAACGTCAAAAAATCTGCGGAGAAACACTATTAGCAATTTAAATTAAAACATAGTTTATTTGTATATACTTGTGAAAACATAAAAATCACTGGGGTGTTTCTTCTGGACGGAATTCCCCAGTAAGAGCAAAATTACGCTAAAGATAGTTATTTATGCCGTTAAAATCAGGCTTATATTAACCACAGAGCTGCAGTTGGTCCTCACTCAGGAAAACACTCATACTGAATTCAAAGTACAGCTAATTGCTTTGGCTTACAGGTCAGCATGACTGACTTCGTGATTGCAAGTACTGCCACAGCACTTAAGGTGCCTTTTTATTCCAAAGTCGTTTCCTGTTGCTTACAACTGCAAAAATACCCCACTTTGGAGTAAGGTTCTCTAAGATGCGTGGTGAAGTATGTGCTGATACTCGTGTGCTTCAAGGTACAGACTCAAGTTTTAACTGCGAGAGACAAAAAACTCCATTATATTTTACACCCCCTGAGATAAGTCTCAAAACTTCACTTCCAGTTTGTGTCCTGCTCTGTAGGACTGGCTTTTAGCTGGGCTTTTGCTACTTCTGCATCATGCAGTTATTTTAAATGCCCTGTGGCAAATCGAATTTGTTCTTTGCCCAGGCGCACAAAATCGGAAGATTTCATTATGTTGCCGTTCTTTTACTAACAGCGTGGCATTTTTTTTTTGCTGATCAAAAATACAATAGTGAACAGGGCTTTCTCCCTGCTGTTGTCTGGTGAGTAGTTAAAAATTGAACATGATGAAAAATGGCCTCAGCTAATGAAGAAATACAAATTGTGGGATAATACGGAAGGAATCCTAGGGATTCAACACCATGACTGCAAGTTCTGATAGGTTTTGGCACTCACAGCTTAGCAGATGCTGAACCAGTAAGATGAGTTTATCTGCAACAAGTAACACATGTACCATTTTTTACCTTGATTCACAAACATTAGTTTAGATGCAATAATTCTCTTGCCTGCATGTAGCTAAACAAACACCGTTCCTTCCTCCCACGCTGAAAAATGCGTCTCATATCTACGCTGTCTTAGGCGCTTCTTCACAGTTCAAGGAATAGTTTGGTCTAGAACCTACATATATTCAGGAAATAGGTGGGGGTTTTTTTAAGAAAGGTGGAAAAAATCAGGAGTTGTATCACACATGGAACTTGGCAGAGAGACCTGTTCAGGATGCATTTAGAAAGAGCGCTTGACGTTCCGGAAAAAGGAGAGGAGAACCCGGTGCTCCAGCGTGGGTCCAGCCGTGGCAGAGCAAGAAGCGAGCGCTTCCTTTGCAGGCAGAATACCCGCGCGCTTCTGTGCAACGCGACCTAACCCACACCTGCAGGAAATCGGTTGGAACCGCCGTTTCAGAGAGGCGAGCGCGAGACGTACGACTCCTGACAGGAAGAATGGGCTTGAACCCCCGAAGTTCATTCACGGCTCATAACAATGTGCACTGGCATACTGGCCTCTCGCTCGAGCAGCAGGTCTGGCCGAAGCTCTACAGATTCTGTCATACACAATGAAACCCTTTGCCAAAAAACCACTGATACGCTCCGTAAGGTTTAATAGCATTAGCATGGCGTGTTACTCTCTTTCAGGTACAGCGTCCAGATTGCAAAATAACCCATTTTTTTTTCCTTCAATTGTGTCTCTACTTGAACAGCTCCTCTTCAATCTTATGTCTTCTTAACATGTACAAATGAGCCCAGCTGTACACAAAACATAACTTGTTCAAACCGTTTTATTTTTCACCCTTTAAATCAAATTTTACTTTGTTCTCTTTACCTTTAAAAAATGCTTTAGTCGCATTAGTCTCTTTTGAGGAACACCTACTTTTGTATGAAACCAAGTCGCCTTAATTAGGAAAAAGAAGAAGACTTTTCAGCTGCTCTTCGCTGATTTTAATGCAAGGGGCAAAGCTTCTGATTCCTGAGAAATGTCAGATTCAAAAGACTGTTTCCAAAGGCTGAGGAAATAAAAATGTCCTCAAGAGATTCCAAAAGCATTGCTTCAAAAATAAACCATGAATTTATTTAATCTGAGATGGAAGACAAAGGTAACTATATGATTAAACAGAGTAGCAACTTAGCTGAGGGAATCCCTGAAGATTGCTGGTTCCTGTGTAGCAAAGTATTAATACACATGGGTTTTGCAGCACTCAACACTTTCTCATGTAGGAAAAAATAGGAAACTATGTATTGCTGAAATAGGACTGATTCAATGCAGCACAATGAAGAC